AAAAACACAGCTCGACTATTCGATTTCTACGCGTCGAAGTATATGGTAGCCTCGAAGCGTTGGCCAAACATACATTAGTACATAGGCTCACCCATACAGTTGAATGAGAGCGTCATCGGCATTAACAATGCATTGAAGCATCGTGGCTGTGCAAAAGAGATGTCTATACGTATATTTTGAATACACGATGCGCTTGGCTTCATCAGCAAGTGAATGTGTATGTGCTGGTATTGCCGATGAGATTAAATAAAATTGATGTTTATGTAGGCAAAATACGCACGCTACGCTGAAAAGAGACAACACCATTGTTGTCACAAAAACAGCTGTTATAAAACGTATTAGTATTTCTCAGGGTTTTTCGCAATTCTACTACATCAATTCAAATGCATCGGAATTATTTGTTTTATCATATTTTTTTCGATATTTTTATTTCAAATGAAATGAAATTGATATTTAAGATATATCTAAAATTTATAATATTAAAATTTCACTTTGGAAATAAAGAATTATTGTTTGAAATGGAAAAAATAATACGTCAAAAATCATCCGAGTTTACGTTTCCTGATACATTGGCGCCATCTCTTCGTCAGACAATGAACTACCGAATGAAGAGATTCATATTTCAAATTTTCATCATGTATGTATGCCGCATCATGCGAGTATAGGTATATTGAAGCAAACATCTAAAAATATAGCAACGTTTCCAAACTACGTTGAAAATATAACATTTTGAATTTAAATAAGTATCAAATTGTTTTGTGCAAACGTAGATGTTTAATCAATCTTTGTTTGTGGAGTCACAACAAAACTGTCTGATTATGCCAAAACATCCAATGAATATAATAAAATGAAAGGTAAGCGATTTGTGCTCCGTTGTGATAAGCTGATTAATTTATAAATAAAAAAAAGATAATCCCATTCCAAGTATTTATAACGCTCAAATGTTGATGAAGACCCAAACAAATGCTTTGTTTACATTTCTGTTTTAGTCCTTATCCAGAGATTTGTTACTCAATACATTCATAACTGCATGGTTAATCCAAAAATTAATATTATTGAAAATTAAACGTTTTAATTTTGTGTAAAATATTTGTGAGCTCATACGTCTACTAAAAGGAATCATGCGCAGTCAACAGTTTGAATCGAAGCCGTTTGAAAAGAATTGCTATTTTTTGGATTGTTTCATTTACGAAACCATAGAAACATTTGAGTTTCATCAAAATCTTCGAAATCTGTGTATTTTATGATCATTTTGTCGTATATTGAGTGACATGAAGGAGAGTAATAAACTTGAATGAATAATAAAATTTCATTGACTAAATCAGTGTCAAATACCATTCAAATTTCACTCTGGAAAGAAACAAAACGCACTCAGAATAAAAATGCCATTGAGTTGATCTTTGTTTACTTTCCGTCACACAGAAGGTAATTTGAACATATGAATGCGTAACGATTTAATTTGAAATGCTTAAAAAGAAAACACATACTTCATGAAACATCTCGCGGCATAGAAGCTGTGTTCATCTGTTATGTTCATTCTCTCACTCAGCTAACGCGCTCTCATCAAATGTGTGTATGTGTATTTGTGAGAGTATTCATTCATTCTGTTCAAACCATGTGTGCAAACAAAACGCTAGCGGGGCGACACGAGGAGAGTGAGAGTGAGTGTGCCTGTGTGAATAAAAAAAAGAAGAGAGAAATGGCGCGGCGCGCGTCGAAGAGAGACATCAGCCAAAACAAACCACATATTGTCATACTGAGTGGTTAGCTGTAGTTCTCATCGTACCGTTTTGCACAATTCATTCGAACATTTCATACAGTTGGTGAACGCTACTCCAATGAATAGGAAGAAGTGCGCATTCACTGTTAACGTTACGAATTTGTTTTTGTAGCTAACGTGGACATTCGAAAGAAAATTGTCAGTAATAAGTTTGTAAACCAATAAATTGAGTTGTTAATAATTGATTCCAATCATCAAGTTGTGAAAATATTTGGCATTTTTGTGGTTGTACAATCCAAGTAGTCCTTGCGTTAAGTGATAAAGTAAAAGATACAATTGAAGTGGGGTGAGAGAAATTTTTGATGTAAAAAGGGGAAGAAGTTGATAATCTTGATGAGAATGATGCATCCATTATGTCGTTGATTATTTTTTTACGTTGTTAATTTAGAACAAATGAGCTGTGTTTGGTGCTGCCAATTCTCATATTGAATCTGTAAACAAAGATAAAATACTACGTTTTACAAATAAAACATATAGTAGATAGAAGCGACGGGGAAAATGACAGATTCACATAAAGGAAATTATTGTTTGGAATGTGATGCAAAAAATGGTGATTGTAGTGACACCTTTAAATATACCAACGATTCGAATAAGCTACGCGATTCCGCTATCGGATATATCGGTAAATCATATTGATTACATTTTCTATCCTTAATTCATGCGAGATGAAAATCAACAAGCCCAAGAGATTGTTTTATTGAATTGTTTATTGAACAAAAAAAACCGATAAATTACCATTTACGTAATCAAATAATTGGACCTTGAACTTATTAGGAATATGCGCCAAAGAAGAAAAAATACATCTAAATTAATTTTCCTCTTTGCTTTTCTTTCTCTCTCACCGGAATATTAACAATTTAGCTCAAAATGGTTCATCTCACATCGAGAATAAAACGAAACACACTGAGAATCGATACATAAGTAGTTCGAATGCCTGCAGAATGTCCACCATGACAGCTGAAACGCCGAAAATTGTATCATTTGATCAGCATACAAATCCGTTTGTATTCAAATGTGAGATGGATTTTTTTCGGAAAATTAGGGTAAGAATAAATGAAAAATATACAATATACAATTATGCGCTTGTCAAAACTCATTTTTAAAATCATATTTATATTTCATCACACAAATTATTCATTTTATGACATGGTGCATATTATAATACCACCCGGCGAAATGATGTTTTACTGCAAAGCACATGAAGCCATTACTTCAGATAAACGAATTAAACGTTGTGAATTATTTAATTGGTTTCCATTCGGTGGCTCAGTTTAGAGTTAATCGCGACAATAAGCTGATCGTACGATCAAATAAATTACATGTGTGTGCTGTATTTCTCTCTTTCTATCTAAAGTCTCCATTTGACAATGTGTATAATAATATGTGAGAGAATTGCAAATAAAAACCAACGAGATATACGGCGTAAAACTTATCTTCGTCTCAATTTGTGTGTTTCTGTTTTCGTCGCTTTGTTTGCTCGCGATATCTGAATTTGATTATGCAGAAACGAAAATAGCAGCACGCGTCAAAATGTCTTATCAAAAACGTAGTATTATAAACAAATAGACATGGCCACATACAATTCTTCTATGTATGCGCCTCAAAATAGATACAAAATGACGTTCTAACAGTAAATATTGATTCATTTGATCTAATATACATTTATCGAAGCGACTATTGCCGAAAGCCTACAGAAACAATGAGAAGCTTTCAATCCAATTCCATTGTGTTTATCACGTTTGAGTTGCCGGTAATATATTAATACTTTGCATGATACATACATTACCTTCTCGTATATTTTCATTGCATGCAATACTAAAACATGCATACGTGTTTCCCATTTGTCAGACCACCGAGTCGAATGTTCGAATTTAATTGAAAATTTTGATTTATTAAATTCGCCGATCTTTTATTAAGTTTGTCAATCAACTCCATACATATAACAAGCGAATATATGACTATATTGTGTACTCACTAGAATATACAATTTTAATTTTCAAATTTCTCTTTGAGTAAACTTAATTTAAGTTAATTATTTGTAGTGGCCTTCTTATTGTTTCTATTTTAATGACATTTGTTTCGTGTATATAAAGGAAATGTACATGAGATTAACATGAAAGATATGACACACTAAACATCGTGCAATGGAATTATTTTCCTTAATGCCATCGTCACCTAAATATTGATGGTTCTCAGTCACTTGTTATATCAAAACATTTTCTAGTAGTACATATTTTGTGTTTTGTGTGGCTTCGCCTGCATACAATCATTCTCGTTTTATGTTCGACCAAAATCGATTTCACTAAGTTTAGAACTCAATCGGTTAAATGCTAGGGGAGAGAAACCAATGCTAGTTTTTCTAGTTTATAGCTAATTTACTAGTTTTTAGCTAATTTACTAGTTTATTGCTTGAATAATCTAATAATGCTAATATTCCTTCATGAAATTGCTAGGTTTCTAGTTTTTTGTTCTGTCAAATGACAATCAAATGATTGTACTGACACAATGAAGTATTTTGACGTTTTGTTGTTCAGACATATTTTTATGTGTTTTGAATAAATATACACTTATAATAGTAAAAATTAGTTTAGTTCTTTTTTAACACAAAATCGTGCATAAAGTACTTGTTTCTTTCAATAGTCGACTTGTAAAATTGATTTAGTCACCAAATCATGGCAGAATATCAAAATGGCGGATCAAAAAATTTTTGCTAATTTTTCTAGTTTTTGCTAGTTTTTTTCTAATTTTCCTAGTTTTTACTTGAAATATAAAAAACTAGCTAATGGTTTCCGTCCCCTAGGTTAAATGTAATGCTTGTTATACTACAAAAGTGACATTTTGCATTGTCCAAGTTTGGTTGAAATTACAATTCACAATAAGTCAAGATGAATTATAAATTTTGTGATCTAATTTCGCGTGACCAATAAAAGCAAACCTAAAAACAAATCCCGCTCAAATAATATAATGAAAAACCTTGTTATTTTTAGTTTTTTATCAACCACCATGTATAAATGCATATGAGATGTCAAATGTTAACAAAAAGTACAATGTTAGCATAGTACATATCACGTGTATGTCTGTGTTAAAGTGTTGCATATTTTAACAAGTCACCAGATGACACTTTTCACTTTTAAATATGCGCTAATAATAGTTGGATTTTATTATGTACTTAAAATAGATGATAACAATAATTAACAAGCAGTTGCATGTCAACATTTAAAATTTACCCTCACGAGTAAAAAAACATGAATTCCTTGCACCTTTTTCATTCAAAGATTCTTTTTCTTCAACGAGGGGACATTTTTCTATATAATAAGATATATTTTCGATTTTATGTAGAAACATCAAATGAATTATTTGTTTACACTGTAGCACTGTATCTTTATTTCGTGAAAATAATATAGATTTATAAATATTGAAGTCAAGAGGTTAAAGACCATATTATCTTGCTATTTTATTAAAATTGTCATGACATAATGACAATTTAACAAGCTCTGTCGATAGTATGCGCTGTTCATATTCGATGATTTCTGAATATAAGATTTAAGAATTTTATTTTTATTTTTCTAATTTTTTATTCGCAGACGGCAATATTTACGATTTTCATTGTGCCATGTCGACTACTTATAATCACCAGTTTACTGATTATAGCATGGATTTTAGCAACTATTGGATTGTGGGGTTTGACGATGGATGATCTGAATGTAAAACCAATATCAGGATGGCGAAGGTAAAACTATTTTTATTTCTATTAAGTTGTTTGAATTGTCACATTTCTCATTACATTCGTGGCACGTAAAATGACATGAAAGATGAATGAAATTGTACAAGTGACGATTTCATCACATACCAACGATTTCTCTATTGATTTTTTGAAAGAGAAAAATCAAATAATGTTACAATGCAGGAAATATTGAGCGTCTTGCTGATATTTCTGGCAATAAAGAAAGTGTGATTTTTTCTCAATCGTTCATTTTGAGCTCTTTTGTTTGTTTCAATAGAAGCGAAAATTTCTAAGTGTCTGAAGATATTTGTCATTAATTTTGAAAAGAAAAAATGTACTTCTTCGTAAACAAATATCATGTGTGAAATAATGAAATATGTTTGTCAAAGCTAAAAAGAGTTTGTTGGTGTCACCGTACTTGCTTTTAAATTGTTAGATAGGTCGGCATTTTGGTAAATCTAATTTAAAACTTCCTACTGCGCGTACACGCAACATGAACATAAATACTATAGTATGTTTTATAATGAATTTACAACACTTTAATAATGTGACTAACGGCTCAAAAACCCAGCTCCATTTATTTTCATTAAAATCGTCTCACGTCTCAATGAATAAAGTAGACTTTTAAGTATAAACAATGGCAAAATGTTGATTGCTTCTTATTTCTTATTTATTTTCAGGATAATTCAAGTTGTTGCTGCCCAAGCAATGTATGGAATGTACTTTTTTGGATCTTTTCATGGAGTAAAAATAACTGGTCAACCACAAGCCACGTCAAAAGAAGCTCCAATTTTGGTATTGGCACCTCATTCATCATTTTTTGATTCGATTTCTGTCGTTTTGTTTGGACCACCATCTGTGCTAGCAAAGGCTGAAACTGCTTCGCTACCATTTTTGGGAAGTATGTATTCGATTGGTTTGTCGCCGTAAAGAAGTGTATAATCTTATAATTGTAATAATTTCAGAATTAATCAATTTCACACAACCAATTTATGTGTGGAGAGAGGATCCGAATTCACGGCAAAATACTATTAAAACGGTTATAGAACGAGCAAATTCACGAGATGATTGGCCTCAGATTATCATTTTCCCAGAAGGAACTTGTACGAACCGAAGTTGTGTACTATCATTTAAGCCCGGTGCTTTCTACCCTGGCGTGCCTGTGCAACCCGTAAATTTTTTTAACATTCACAGTTTTCTTCATTTATTCAATTTTACTTTTACTTCAAATTAATATTTTAGGTGTGTATACGCTATCCAAACAAATTTGATACTGTGACATGGACATGGGAAGGTAAGTTAAATGAATTAAATCTAATTTATGGTTGTATTTATGAGTCAAATGTAATTAATTGTATTCTTTTTTCAGGTCCTGGAGCGTAAGTTGAATTCCTTTTGTCAACCATTCGCAATTTATATTCGTTATGTAATCGTCTTTAATAATTACAGATTAAAACTGCTATGGCTTACAATGTGCTCAGTTTATACGAGATGTGAACTTGAGTTTTTGCCGGTATATTTGCCAACGCAGGAAGAAAAAAATAACCCGAAGCTCTATGCAACAAATGTTCGAAATGTCATGGCAAAGTAAGCATTCTCGCGATGATTTACGCAAGACGAGGATTATTTTGATAAATATGAAAAAAAAATCAATGACGAAAGTATAGTGAAAATAACAAATAGACGTCATATGTGTTTGTGTATAAGAAGTAAAAGAAATGAATCAAATGTTACACATGTTCGTGACCACTATCGATAATATTCCTTTATATTTAAGAATACGGTTATTTCTATTGCATGACATTTGGGTCTGTTTTCACAGCTTTTTTCAAAGTCAAAATGAATCAAAACACGAATATTTGAGCCATTGTTTTAAAAGCAAAAAATTAAAATAGACTTTGTGGCATTTTTATTTCAATTTTTTTTGCTCTTCCAACTTTGATGATGAGATACAAATACCAAATGGTTAGCAATTTATTTTATGTACCATTTTTTTTTATTTCAGAGCATTAGGATTGCCAACATCTGACTTGGTAAATATAATTTTTTTAATGTCAAAATATATTCAATTTTTGATATATGATTGAACATTATTATTTATTAAGACATACGACGATTGTAAAATGATGATCCGTGCCAGACAAATGAATCTTCCACACTTTGATGATATTGTGGAAATTGAAAAGCTCAGACAAAAAATTGGGTATTGTAAAATCACCATTCAAAAGTATTTGAATCATATGATTGACGTTTTTTTTTATCGTATTTTTAGTTTGACTTTAACAAGTATTGAAGAGCAAGTGGTGGCATCAAGCTTGGTGCATGAATCAAACTGTATAGTTTCGATTCCTGAGTTTGCATTACGTCTACAGATTTCCGTTGACGATCCAATAACTGCTGAACTATTCCGAATTTTCGACACGGTTGGTAGTTCTCATGAAAAAATCAAACTAATTCACACTGAATTCATAAGAGAATAATTCGTTTTTTTTATGTGCAGGAAATGTCCGGAACTATTGATTTTCGTGAATATTTGCTGTGTGCTGTGTATTTAATAAAACAAAGTGTGCCTACAATGGACCTCATGCAAATCGTGTCAAGAATGTATGACAATTGCGGCAAAGGAGCAGGTCGTCTCACGCGCACAGCACTTGTGCATTTATTGAAGCACACTATTGCTGCTTCAATCGATGAGTGTGTAGATATTTTCGCTGATATCGATTTTGAACGAAGAGGTTTTGTTACAATAGGTGAGTATTGTTTTGAAAAACATGAAGAAAAAAACCATTCGACAAATTATCGGCGACAATTTAATGAGTTTCTCGTTTTGTAGACAATTTGCGTGAATATTTCGAAAGCAAGCCTGAATTTGCACACCTGTTTGAAATTCCCACGACAGCAAAAAAAACCACACAATCTTCAACAACAAAACCAAAGAGTCAATAGATTATTTTAATTATTTATTCTATTAATTTTATTGAACCATGATAAGCAAAAAATTAGTTTCATATGTCAAATTTAAATGAATTTTTGAATTTAATTCACATTAAAAACAATGTATAAAAAATAATCTTTGTGAAATATTATCTCCCATTCAAATACATTTTTGAAGTAAAACAAAGTTATTATGATGAAGAATTTTGTAAAAAGTTTGTATTACAAAGATTTAAAATGAACATTTATAGCTAGAAATTGTATTATAAATTTGGGAAAAGAAATACAATAGATTATATGTTCGTTAGCAAATACGAATCTTAAAATTGAAACTATCAAGTGCATTGTTTAATTTGATTTAATTAGAGTAGCAGTTCTTTGACATTATATAAATATGTAGTAAAAAAAGGCAGTAGCACATTAACTAACTTATTTATAAAATTAATATTTATCACAAAACTATCAAAGGATGGCATTGACAGTAAAATTTTAATGGTCTTCGATAAAAAAATGAGTGTTTTTCTAATTAGTGAAATTACACTTACGGAGTAAATGATTGAAAAAATAAAGTAACAATTTGTCAATACATAAATATGTTGTCTGATTTTTTTAAATTGCGTCAAATTGCGAGTGGAAAGTGAATTGCAACGAATGGCTATTGTAAACAAAATTAAACACTTTTTAATTACTTGATATCGCATCAATAATTCATTAACCGTTCACTTCATTTATTAATCGCTAAATTAATTTTTATCAAGTGAACAAACTGTTTTCAATTGAAGTTTGCCCCCCGAAAAATTAAATTTCACGATTAAAATTGGTAATTTCATGGTTAAATATTATTTTTTATTCAATTATTAACTTAAAGAACGATTTTTTTTCCAAAGCATCTGTCTCGTACATATAGTCGAAATAACATTGTTGGTCTATTGCAACAATAGTAACGTCGGATGGAGCTGGAGCAAAATTGATTTATGACTGTTTTCATTTTTCATCATTCTTTTCACAGTTTCAGTGCTCAGTGTTCGTTTATCGTTGTAAATGTATGCGTTGAATTCAGTATTTGATTGTATTGGTAGAAATGATGGGGAGATTCCCCCAAAAACTTGGCTACAGTAAATTCACTGATAACAAAGCTGAACGAAGCCCAGAGAAAAAAAACAGTTACCCCTATTTTCACAGACAAATACACCCCACTTTTACCGCCATCTGGCAGACAAAATATTTACCACGACAAAATGTTTGTAAAAAGCTTTCAAACATCTCATTTCGAAACCACTTTATTTAGCAGTAAAACTATTCATAGATTTGGCTCTTAAACACTTTCTTATAAATAAGCATAATATTCAGCCATAGATTTAATGTTAATCCGTAAAGTACGGTATAGCTATGTCTAGATCTAACTAGAATCTACATTCAATAGAAATAAGCTCACATTGGTCCGTAAATTATTAATTGATTTATAAACAACACCTGCCACTGAATATCAACAAATAACAAGTTAGTCAAGTGTCAAGTGCGAATCAATATGTTAAAGCTATAAATTATATTGATTAAGGTCTCTAATTTAAACTGTGCATTGCAGAGTGATTTATGACAACATTTAATTCTATATGCTCTATGCACATATCATGATATATATACTCATCCACTGGCACAAAATTTACGTCACGAAGTTTAATTGATTGGCAGACCACATGTGAACATTTGAATGGACGGTATATGTGATATGCAAACATTTGTATTTGACATTAATTATGTTATTTAAATTGAAATGGACACTGCGCGTATGAAGTGCAAATTCTTGGCACGTTTGAAATCGAGGAAAAACAAACAAACTTTTTTTTTGTCCGATGAAAAGTATTCAAATAGTACAGAATCCATTTCAAAGCAAAATTGAATGAATTTTCCGGAAAATGTGCCAAGTAGTGTACAAATAAACCTTGAAATATTGAAATCGATTAACGCTCTTATGATTTTTATTCAGCCACGTTAAAGTGTTTCACTTCTACCATGGTGCAATTTTGTTTTGTTCAAAAATTGGCATTTAAAGCAGATATTCGATACACTTCGATAATAAATGGTTTTTGTAGCTTCTACAATTTTTAATTTACAAACACTCAGATATATCCATTAATTTTCCATCAATTGAGTTTTTGGTGGTTCATACATAAATAAACATACATCGAAGTGAAATAATTGCCATGAGCATTGAAGAAATAACTTTAATTGAAATCGATGACAGCAATGAAAACAAATCTTTTGAAAAAATGCTCTAATTCAGTTGAAATGTGCAGTTTTTGTTCTGTACAAATTATTTGCAACCAAAAAAGGTTCTCTTTTTACAGCCAAGGTCTAGTATTTTTAGATTACTCGTTCAAAATATGTCGATAATATTAATTCATATCAAAAAATAGTTTTTTCTTTTTGCAATTTGGAAAAACCAATGCCACTTTAAAACAACTTTGCCTGGTTTCTGATCAGATATTCACTATTTCTTATATAATCTTGTAAATAAAAAATCTACTATTAAATATTTGTGTGGCACTTCTAAATATATTTTTACAGATACTTCTCGTGGCCATGTGGATAAAATTTTCTTGCCAAGACATTTCGAACCATTTTGTTTGATGTGATGCCGAATGATGAGCTTTCTATTTGATTCACATAGCATTGTTTGAATGCACATTCATATCAAATTAACAATCAAATCATTTTTGAATAGCCTCATTTCTGTTTTATTGCACAGTTCATTTTTCACTTATATCTGGTATGGTAAGTGCAAATCTACTTTACTGATATTTTATCAGACCATTTTATGCGAGTGAAAACATGAGAATTTAATTTAATTCCAATATACCTTATGTGTAGTATTTTATTCCATAAAATATAAATGAATTGATTGGGCTTAGCCATGACAAGCATGAAATTGATTCAATTTTTCATTATATTCTTGATAAGAAATCTTCAAAACTTCTTCTCCTCTTAAGCCAACTGGAAGTACAAGTGTCTAAAAAGAAACTTGTGCTAATATGTATAACGTCATATTAGTATGTGGCGCTTTTTACCGTTTATTATTAAAGTGAAACCTGTTCTACATGTTCGCGTAGCTTTTTCAATTTTCTCCAGATATGAAAGCGTTTAATTATTCTGAAAATATAGTATAGTTTAAATTTGCTATTTGAGTATATTAAATATTGATTCGTTACAAAATATATGGTGAATAGGAGGATATGGGAAGACAAGCGTTATCCGACATTGAAAATATGCACAGGAACATCACCTAGTTGGTTGATTTCATTTTCATTTATGAAAATTTATTTATGAAAGTTTATCACAATCATAAACGACGACCAATATTTGAGTTTTGAACGGACGTGACTGAAATTGGAGTGTATCAATTCGTCATAATGGTTCGAATGTTAGTAAGCAAAGATGTGTATCTTCGAAATGTAGTGAATTCATTTATACTTGTTTCATTATGTTTGGCATACAATTTTTTTTTTATCTAACGGCATTCATGCAAAACGTATTCCGTATAGTAATAATGGTACTACATCACACAAAATATTACATGAATAAGAAATGTATGCGGCGATAACTTTGTAGCGTACGTGGGGATCGCTTGCTCTCTCACAGAAAATGTTTCGTTTAAATAAAAAGGGGTAAATGTGGATCGAGATGAAATTCTCACGCAACCAAAAGTCATTTTGTTCATCAGCAACAGATGTAATATGTGACATTTGCTCTAACCAACCATCAAACGTGTTCAAAACAAATTTTAATAGAATTGAAAACACGAAACAGCATTGTATACATAAAATGGGTTGAACATGTTTATATGAATGATAGTCAGTTTTATTTGGTTAACCAAAATTTCGTATACAGTAAAAAATGCATTTTGAATTTTAATGAAAGAAAAATATTTTTGTAGCAATCGTTTCACATTTTTCACGACTATTGTTCAATTCTCAGAAGGATCGGCACGTCTCAAATTAATTCAAGAAACATTTAATTTGAAGTATTGTTATAGCACGAAAGGCCGAACAAAAGCAAACTTTTGTAGATAATTTGCGCTCCATTTTTAATGTCTATGTTCAATTTCATCTAAAAAAAGGATGTATAGTCGAATGTCCGCACATGTGAAAGTCGAAAACAGTGAATGAAAATGAGTTTCTGTTCATTTTTACTTTGTGAGTGATAGCATTGCTGTTTTCATAGCAAGAGTGGTAACATCCAAACGACATTGATTCATACAGAAAATGGAAATGCGAAAAACCACCACTGAAATATAACGAAACGAAATGGAAAATGTTGACAGAAACGAGTGACGACAGAGCAAATAAACATAAAAAAATAAGCAAACAAAATTATTTGATACAAACGCATGTGTGAGCGCTCATGATGCGTGCAAAGCAACACAAACAGAATATAAATTTTGTGTATGAATGGCGAATGGACTGTAAACCAACATGACGGCGATATTTTCCGTGTGCATCAACATCATCATGTCAATTCTAACGAAAACATATTGATGACGCCATTGCACATTACGGAAAAAACGGATAAGCCTATCCATGCGAACTTAAAATGTACCATTGAATTTAATCCATTTGCCATGGAGATTTATCTGCTTAGAATAAAGCTCTTTAACAAACGATTATAGTTCATTTTTTTTCTCTATTTGTAGTGTGCCTTCTTTTATTCAACGAAAATCGTAGTTGACTAGACACTCAATCACACAGATTTATCATGGACTTTCCACCAATTGGAATCATGCTAACAACAATATTTTGTAAACTATGGGTTAAATCCGTTTCTTTTTTACACAGTTAACACAGCATTGTTGGAATTTTTTTACGAATTTCTGTGTACCTTGTGCACATTTTCTTGGAGATTTGGCAGTAAAAAGCAGAGCCATGAAAATATATTTTCCTTAAGCCATTAAAATCGCTGATAAAATTTTCCACTCTTATGGTTTTTCGTGCTGGTAGTAAAAGGTGGATGTTGATTTTTCAACATTTTTTCCTTGTAATAAAAAGTCATCAAAACTTCAGACTTAAAACAAAGCTCGAGAAACTATCAATCTCTCGTGATTTTTTTTTTCAACTTGAATATTAGTTTAATGTTTGCATTTCATTTCATCGCATTTTCAAAACTGGTTCATTTTTATAAATCCAAATCTGCACAAACAATGCAATTTGGTTTTCTGACATGTACCAAAATGAATAAAAAAAAACAGGCATTTGTGAAAGAATGATGTTGAAACGGTAAAGGTAAGAGTTACATGAAAGCAAAGGAACGCTGAATCGTGAAAAGTGCTTGGTATGGACGCAGAAATAAGCGAATAAGTAGAAAACACGATTACGCTTTGCCTTGAAGCCAATTTAATATCACGGTTCCACCATAAAACCCACAGTTACTGGTATTCAGCTGAGTTGGCACACGAAAAAATACGATAAACTTCATCAGCATCGGTCGTTTGAGCTTGCTGATTATTACGCAATGCTTACAAATAACACGCTTATTGCTGTCACACTCAGATAAAGAATACTATAGAAAAACCAGTTGTTCTAATGTTTCTCTCTTCTT